GGTTCATTTGGAAAAAATGGAAAATAAAGAGGATAGACAGCTACCGTGGGAGAATAAGGGACATCAGAAGTGAAAAATCCTAGATTTTTGTCCTTAGCTCCTTTAATTTACAACTAGTGATTTCTCCCTTCCTCCATGGGGGCACCTGGAAGTTGTTAACGTCTGATTGGCTCTCTGGCTGTCTTTCATCCTCACCTGGGTACCTCCATCTACGTACTTTCTGGCCTTTGTGTTTCTTCTGTCCATCTGTGATGGATAAGTACATGCAGCACCTTATAGAATTGTAACTTAGAGTTAATGATTAAACAAAGGGGACATGTGTGTTTTATACATGAAATAAGAAGCTTTAGGGACTTGCTCCTTATCGCCTCTGCGTTTCATTAAATGTGTGTGAGGGGCTGTTTACCTTGGCCTTTCATGTTCTTGGCTACATCCATGTTTTGCCTGACATCTCTTCCAGTTAAATTCTTATATTAATTGTTTTGATATCTGGCACCTTCCTGTGTCTGCTTTCTTTCTCTCTACTTTTGTCTTTCTAATACCTGGAGTCTAAATGGAGTGGGAAAAGCTGCCATTAGTAAGATTTCCTAGTAATTTCTTTAATAAATCTTAATAAGAGTTTATTTTATCCTTTTTCCTGTCTATGAAAACCTGTACTTGCATTACCTTTTAAAAAATTCAGTGTATTCTTCCTTTTACTGTAATATGTTTCTATCACCTAGAGTAGAATATAAGCAATTATAAGACAAAACTGATATTTCTCTAAATGGGCCCACCATGGTCTTTAGTTTATTTACTTAAAAGAGTTCTACTATTATATTTAGAAAATATTAAGGTAAATATCAATTTTTGCCTATTTTAACATTTAAATTAGTACTATAAGGATATTAGATCCATTTTTCATACATATTTAAGTGGTTCTCATCTCCTAAACAAGAGTCATATAGGAACTGCTCTAATCAATAATGTTGACAAAGTTCACTTCACACATGTGTCCTCTCCTAACTCTAGAAGTTAATATTTGATCTATTTTGTATCTAAATTGCCAATCATCTCAGAACACACTGGACCCCTGCAGAACAATGTGTTGAACAGATGCCAGCATGGTGCCTGGGAAGTGGCTTCTGCAATCCTGCTGCTGCAGCTCTGCTGTGCTGGCTGTGGATTCTGTGGGAAGGTACTGGAGTGGCCCTGTGAAATGAGTTCACTGGCTCAACTTAAAGACTATTCTTGAGGAACTCGTTAAAAGGGGACATGAGGTGACAGTTTTGATTCCTTCAAAGAGTGTTTTCATTGACTACAGCAAACCTTCTGCATTTAATTTTGAAGTGATTTCTGTACCAGTTGAAAAAAAAGAAAGCATGTCTGAGAATATGCTAAATCAGTTTAGAGACATAGCTGTGAATGTCATGCCAACAGTGGCACTCTGACAATCAGCAGCAATACTGCAAAATTTCTTTCTTAGTGTAACTGAAGATTTGAGAAATCTTTGTACGAATACAGTCTACAAGCAGTCATTCATGAAGAAGCTCCGGGAAACCAAGTATGATGTGTTGGTTACAGTCCCTGTAGTGCTTTGTGGAGAGCTAGTGACTGAGGTGCTTGAGGTCCCTTTCATAAACACCCTAAGGTTTTCCATGGGCTACAGCCTAGAGAAATACTGTGGCAGCTTCCAGTTCCACCTTCCTATGTGCCTGTTCTCCTTGGGGGGCCTCACAACCAGAATGACATTTCTGGAAAGGGTGAAAAATATAATGTTTTTGTTTTTACTGACTTCTGGCTCCAGTAGTATGACTTCCGATTTTGGGATCAATTTTACAGTGAAACATTAGGTAAGAGACTCTACTTTTTATATTGAGCTAGTTTTCAACGTCGCTTAGGAAGCTAAAGAAAGCCTAAAGAAATGAAATAAAAATGTTTTCCAAACTCTTATTTTCTTGTAAAACTGTAAGTGATAATAATGACTGTTCATTAACATAATTAGGAAAGGAAGACAAGAATTATTTTGTCATGTGTACTCTTTTTATATAATCACTAAACACTTTTGTAACATACCTCGAAACTTCACAGATTGTTTTTAAAACCAAACAAACAAAAACCATACATAAATACAGGTTAATCTAGTAGAAGATAAGATTTTTGTCAGAAATAGGACAGCAAATATTTCTAGTACAATGAAATTCCTTCCCTAGGACATGCAGTTTTTTACTGGTTAAAAAATTATATAACATGTAAGAATAAAAAATATTTCTTGGTCTATTCCAGTGATAAACTGACATGGACTATTTTGAGAATCATGTTATGTTTATGATATAATTCATTTGATCTTTTTTTTTCCTTCTGACAAGACTGTTAAACATTTAATTTTATTTATCACTTCAGAATGCACTGAGTACTTAACCCAAGCATAAGTACCTATTATATTATAAGTGAACCACTTTTTTGGTGGGGGATTCTTTAAATTGTTCATGTGTACCTATTTCTTTGATTATCTCAAAAAATGAAATGGCTTTAATTACTATTTGCATCCAGATAACTACAAATGTATTTCTGTGTGATCTGCCTCCCGTATTCAACCCACTTATAAGTTCATCTGTGGACTTTATATTGCCATTTGGATATTTAATTGTATTTACAATTTTCTTATCAGACTCCAAACATATCCTTGACTATTTCCTATTTTATTTAATGGAACTCAGTTTTTCCAGTAACTAAGGTGAGAAATACTTGGGTCATTGTTTATCCAACTGTTTTTCTCACAGCACAAAAATAATTTGATAGGAAATACAGTTTTACCCTCAAATATTTGTAGAATTTGCCAAAATCATTAATATCAGCCATTGTCATTATTCTGGTGTGAGCTTACCTCAACAGGAAATTGACATTACAGTATAAACTGCAATAAATAATAAGAAACAAAACACTGTATGATAAATATAAATATAATTATAAATATGAGAAATTACATTCCCTAAAACATTATGAAGTAAATTCTGCTCACTAGTCCTCCAGGTATCAAGACACTTATAGTTGCCTTATCACTCTCGTGTTTCTTATGGGTTGCTTTTGCGCATATGTTTGGACAAGTTTATTTGTATCGTACCTTCAGGGAAGGTCAAAGTAAAGGTAAAGGTGACATGAAGAATACATATTTTACTTTTTAAAATTTGAGATTTTACATTTTAATTTTCTCACATGATGTTTGAAAGAACTTAATACCTAGACAGGTTGAAATAGGAAGCTGTCATCTGTATCAGTCTCACTAACATGACCTACTTCTGCAAGATTAGTAACTGTAAAGTAGTAAATTCTACTCTTATCTGTATTGATTACAGTAAGGTAGATGTCTATAAGTTCAAGTTACTGCCGTGATTTTTTAATTAAAAGCTTTCTCCTTAGAGTAATCATGTAGCCTAAAGTACTGGATTCAAATAATATCTATTTGATAGTCACCTCAAATTTAATTACAAGTATACTAATTGTATATTCTTTATATAAAATATCACTATATAAATATAATTATACATAATTTTCCACTCTATAACTAGTCTATATAAATAAGAAATTCAATTACTGAGTATAATTGAAAGCTCAAATAATCAATTTATTAATTATAGTATATATTTATATAATTATTCACGAAAATATAATTATATATAGCTGTGCACTGTTTATGACTATATTATCGAAATAATATAATTAAGAAGATAATTAATGATAAATTTTAATTTGGTTTTTTTCTTAATTCCTAAGTATGATCTTAAAAATGTCTTGTGAAATTATTTGTATATCTTTTGTTAAACTTACTGTTTTAGGTCTTATTGACTTCATATTTTCAACTGTGAGCCAGTGCTTTAAATATGAAATTTTAATGAATACTTTCAAGAACTTTCTTAAAATTTCACCTTAAGTTTATGCACATAAAATGCACATAAGGCATTAACAATCAAGGCAGGAAGTAGCATACTTGAAATAAGTCTTCTGAATGGCATGAACAATTTGTTGTGGAAGTATAAGGTGGATTTCTCATTCAATCTTTGGTAATTTCAAGCTAAGTATTCTTGGGCAATGCTTCTTAATTATCAAATTAAAGTATTAGACTATATAAATTTACACATATATTCAAGAATTATTAAGTGATGTGTGTATAAAAAGGCCATCTGCCCTTGCTGTATATGATCATCACAATTCCTAACTTGACCATAAATAAGAAAGGATTCTTGTTTGATTTTTTCTTTTTTCAGTTTGAGAACATGCTCTTTTAAGTACAGAAATAGTTCCTTTTATTATTTACAAACACACCTTCTTCTTCACAAAACTGTGAAACTAATTCCTAGGATCTGTCCTTTTCAAAAACACTATTTAACAGTAACAGTAAGGATGTAATATTGGTAATGTCCATGTATACATTTCATATCTGCAAGGGGCTCATACTGGATCTGAATTACAGAAAAAATTCTTATTCTTACTGAAAAAGTAATGGCAAATCAGTTTAGGAGATGAGATTGACTCAAGAAAAAAATGGTGGATTGAGTTTGGTTAGATCTTTCAATGTTATGAGTGATCAAAGACTAGCTAAAGCTGTAAAGTGAATGCACGCTCCTGAATGGAGACTGGAAAGCCCTTGAGAGGTAACTTGTGGCTTATGTGATGGAGCTAATCTATTCTCTGCCATTTAATTAGGAAAATTTAGTGTTAAAATTATCAGTAGATGTAGGTGTAGGTGTAACTGCAGCTGTAGGCTAATTTTTTGATCCTTTAGTGTTATTAAATGATATATACTTCTCTTCTTTCACTATCCTTAATCCTGTCCTTCTCCGTTTTTCCACATCCTGTTCTTCCTCTCCTACTCTCCCCCCTCTCCTTCTCCATTTTAACATATAATTATTCTAGAAGACCTAATTTTTTCTCTGTAAAGGCTTATAATGAAATTGTTGCTAATTGTTTCCCTCAGTAACTACGTGTGCTAATTTCCTCCATCCAAATTTCATTTTCTTCAGGAAAACCCACTACGTTATGTGAGACTATGAGCAAAGCTGAAATTTGGCTAATTCGGACATATTGGGATTTTGAATTTCCTCGTCCATTCTTGCCTAATTTTGAGTTTGTTGGAGGACTGCACTGCAAACCTGCCAAACCTTTACCTAAAGTAAGTCTATGGTGATGAAGAATGTCTTATATGCCTTATAGTACTTAATCTTTTCTTCAAAATTTGAGGCTAAAATATCTTAATCATATCACTTCAAATTAATTTCCCTCATCTTTGTAGTCTTTTATAAGTGAAATTGAGTCTTTTCTTGATTTGGGGTGAAAGATGAAATGGTTCAAGTGATGTGCTAAACATGTCTGTGTCTATGGTACGGATATTGGAGTGGAGAGACGAGAAGACAGTCATGGAAATCATTAAGGAGACTGCTATTGTCTTCTTTAGATAGAGTCAAGAAAAGAGTTAATTACCAAAGTGTTTAATAGGTAAAGATACTTTCATAAGAATTCTTGGTGAATTGCATAGATTTTGAGAAGAGAAAATAAATTTTGATGGAAAACACCAAATCTGAAAGTGTTCCTAGATTTTAATTTTGGTACATTATTTGCATAGTGTTGACCTTTACTCTTTTAGGAAACAGTTAGTGGAAAAATACCTGGAGTTGAGGGTGATAAGTGTAAATTTTGGTCTGTTTACTTCTAGGAGCCCAAGGGATTGTTAGGGGATTTCTAGAAAGATTTTGGGTAGTAAACATCCTCAGTCTCCACAGACAGCATTAGAAATAAAACAGAGTCACCAAATTGAGAGAATCGATTGTTATATGGATTATTTTGATTATGATATCAGAATTCTTTGGAGTGGGAAACAAAAAGTATATACAATATTTAAAAGTATTCAATTAATAACAGGTTGTCAGAAATGTTAAATAGAGTAGTATTGGGAAGCAAAAGAAAACAATAGAGCAAAACATGGGAAGAACATTGCATTAATTATCAGTAAGGATTGAGACAAACACTCATTTATTTGGTTTTCCAGTCAATGAGTACAACCTCTTTAGAAAGTTGAAGGTTAAAAGCTGTTCTCAGGAGAATTTTTGATTTCTGTTCAGACTAGGTAAAGTATATATAGGCCTAAAATTTCATTTCAGGATGGTGATTATATTTTACTTACCAGTCAAGTTATGGATGTAACTTTATTAAGTATAGTTGTATAGGACTTAGTGAACCAAAGGTTAAAAATATATAGAAAGAGACATGATCCATGTATAGGACACTAGATAATAATACATGACACATTATTATATCCATCTTCCTACCCTTGCTCCACAAAAGCATGGACGCACACACACACACAACTTCACAAATCAACTGAAACATGCTCTATAAGAGGAATAATTGATTCCATTACAAACTTGGCTTATCTATTGATATTGAGATTGAGCAATCTCAATGAGAGCAATGACTTATATCTGGGATGGAATCTTGGATACACAGAATAAAGAAAGAATGAAAAAACAGTCAAGAAAAATTCCTAAAATAGTATGGGGTATATGTGTGTGTTTATGTGTGTGTTATTTTCATCAGTAAATAACCATTCAGATGTAAATTAGTTGGTGAAATACCATTTACTTGGACTCATAAATATTCTCCTGACATCAGTAAGCTGAAAATAGCAGTCTGCTTTCACACAAATAAATGTGACCACAAATAACTGCAGATGCAGGATAGTGTTGCAGCATCTCTGAAAGGTATTTACATAGATCACTATGTGAATAATCTCAACCCCAGGCTTTGTAATGCCAAATTTACAAAACTATAAATGACGGCTCAGGAAATTTACTTTTTAAAAAACTATATTTTATTCCTGTAATAAATCTCAAATTAATAGAATACAATTAGAATCACTCTATTGTGGGAATTTATACATCAAGATGGCAAGAAGCATTGCCTCATGAAAATGTCATTATAGCAGCAGATGAAGTATGCTATCTTATAAAATGCTACTATATAATTAATCAGGAAGGTTGAACATTGAGAAAATTAATTTTGAATGGTGTCTAAAAAGAAAGATTAATTTATTAATAATCTCTTGATAAAATGTACATGTTAATAATTTTCATAGTTGTCCATTATTAGAGTATATTAGTAATACACAATGGAGAGGCTCACTTTCAGAAACTGATACATACATTTATAACATCTTTCTCATTTTCAGTCTCAGCACCTCCCCTCTCTACCTCATTCCCTTCCTGCTCTCCAAGAACCTATCTCCTGCTTTCCATCATCTTTCAGCTCTGTCTATCTATCTATGTACCTATCTATCTATCATCTACCTATCTCATTTAAGAGTAATCATTCAATATTTAACTTTCTGAGTATGGCTTATTTCACCTAATATGCTGATCTCTAGTTCCATGCATTTTCCTGCAGATGACATGATTTCATTCTTCTCTGTGACTGACTACTCCATTGTGCATGTGCACCACATTTTTAACCATTCATGTATTCATAGGAATATTGTTTCCACAGCTTAGATATTGTGAATTACACTGCTATAAATAGGATATTCAAGTATCAATGCAGTATTCTGTAATTTTTCTGAAATATATACAGAAGAGGTTTAACTGAGTCAAATATTTTGGCTTGATTAATTTTGAAGACTCTCCACAATGATTTCCATAGTAGTGGTACTTGTTTACATTGTCACCAACAATCTAGGAGGGTTCCTTCTTCCTCATATTCAAGCCAGCCTTCATGTTTTTATTCCTAATGATAGCTATTTTGAGGTCATATGGAAACTGAAAATAGGTTTGATTTGCATTACTCTGACAAATAAAGATGTTGAGCATTTTTCTATTTGTACATCTTCTTTTGAGAAGTGTCTACTCAGTTCATTTCACAAGAGGGTGGATTTTTTCTAGCATTAATTGTTTTGAGATCTTCATATATTCTCACAAGTAATCCTCTTTCAGAAGAGTAGCTAGCAAAGCTTTTCTCCCATTTTATATGTTGTCTTTTCACTCTGTTATTTCTTTTGCTGTGCAGATTTTTTTAACTTTGGTGTAGCACTATTTACTGATCCTTGATATTATTTCCTGTCCTACTGAAATCCTATTGAGAAAGACTTTTTCTGTCTATTATTTCATGTTTCCCTGTTTTATCTTCCAGGAATTTCAAAGTTTCTGGTTTCATATATAGATCCTTGACCAGTTTTCATTTGACTTTAGTATATGATGAAAAATAGGGGCTGAGTTTCAATTTTCTTCATGGGAAATATCAGTTTTCCAAGCAGTGTCTGTCAGAGTGGCTGCCTGTTCTCCAGTGCATGTTGCTTTTTTCCTTCTCCATTTGCCAAAAATCAGATATTTGTAGGTGTGTTCGTTTCTGAGTCTTCTCCTCTGTCCCTTGTGCTGCTTGCCTATATTTGTGCGAACACTCTGTTGTTCCTCTTATTGTGGCTTTGTAGTACAGTATGACAAGAAAACGGGATTTGTGATGCCCCTGCCATTACTTTTCCTACTCAGGATTGCTTTGGCTCTTCTGTGTCTCGATTCCATATGAATTTAAGGATTTTTTGATCATTCTGTGAAGAATGTTGTTGGTATTTCAATAGGAATTTTGTTGAGTCTGTAGTTTAATATTGATAATATGGCCATTTTCAAAATATTAGTTCTAATTCAGGAAAAAGAGATGCTTCCATTTTCTAATATGTTTTTTCTGATTTTTCTGATTTTTTTCTGATTTTTTTATTCATTGGGTTCATTATTGCTATGCAGGAATGTAATTATTTTTGTGTTGAATTTATTTCCTGAAATTTTGCTGAATTTTTGATAAAATGTTAAGGTCTTTTGGGAGAGTTTCTTAGGTCTTCTATGCAATGAGGCATATTATCTGCAAATAGGGATAATTGAATTCTTTTTTTATATCTATCAGATTGTTCTGGCTAAATTTTCAAGTAATGTATTACACTGAACAGTGGTGGTAAAAGTGGACTTTCTTGACTTCTCTCTAATAAAAAAAACGTGTTTTTTAGTTTTTCCTATTCAATATGACAATAGTGTTTGAGTTTGTCATATATTGATTTTATCAGTTTAAAGTAAGCTCTTCTGATATCTATTTTTTTTTTTTTTGGTACCATGGATTGAACTAGGGACCTTGCAGTTGTGAGGCAGGCGGTAGAACCACTGAGCTAAATCCCCAGCCCTTCATAACTCTTTTTTTTTCATTTAGTGTATTGGTACATTTTAGGTATATAATACAGTTACATTCTTCATTGGGATCTTGTACCTTTACATATTGCATCTTGATTCTTATTTTTTCCTTATTCCTCTGCCCTCCCTTCACCCCCTCCACCCTTCCCTATTTATAAATACTTTGTTTCCATGGTTTTTTTCCTCATATTTTTTTCTTTTCTTTTCTTTCCTTTCCCCTTCTCCTCCCACTTCCCATATTTCTTTAAACATTTTCTTCCCATTTCACAATATCAATTATACATTTTGATTCATATTTACACTTTTAGTTTTTCACACCAGAGAAACTATTAAGTATTTATACATCTGTGCCTTATTTATTTCACTTAACAGTATTGCCTCAATGTATATCCAATTAGCTATAAATGCCTATAGTTTCTCATTCTTTATGGCTGAGTAGTACTTCATTAAAAAAACCCACATCTTCTTTATCCAGTCTCCAGTTGATGGCCAATTGGGCTCTTTCCAAGTTTTAGCTATTACAAACTGTGCTGCTATAAACATGGGTGCACATATATCACTGTGGTATGATTCTTTTAATTCTTTTGGGAAGATACCCAGTGTAGGAATAGCTGGGTTAAATGGGACTTCCAATCCTAGTTGTTTGAGGTATCTCCATATTGATTTCTATAGTGTTTGCACCAGTCTACACTCCCACCAACAGTGAAGAAGGGTTCCTTTTTCGCCACAACCACACCAGTACTTGTTATTAGCTTTCATGATAGCAGCCATTCTTCCTGGGGCAAGATGTAATCTCACCCTTGTTTTCATCTGCATGTCTCGAGTGACCAGGGATGTTGAATATTTTTTCATATTTTTATTTTCTGCTTTTACTTCATCAACTGAGAAATATCTGTTCATTTCAGATGACCATTTTTGAATTAGGTCTTTATATTTGGGGCATCTGATTTTT